AGCTAATTGATCCTAATGAAGACCCCTATGGCTACCTGGGAATGACCAAAAATCCCGTTGGCTCTATCACACGCCTGTCTCAAGTTCAAACCCCTGGCACCCCTGCCTCATCCGATCCTAGCAATCCTTTTCATCTATCAAAGGACGCAGATGTTAACCAATCTAAGGGCACTTGGGCTCGAATATTCGTCCCCGAGCAGCATTTGATTCCTTCCCTACCACAAAATTGCCTCTCATTGTTTACTTTCATGGGGGAGGCTTCGTTGTATTCAGTGTAAATACAGCCATGTTTGATGCTTTGTACACTCCAATTGTTACTGAATTCCCGGCTGTCGTCATCTCTGTCGAGTATCGTCTTGCTCCGGAGCACCGGCTTCCTGCAGCTTACGAAGATTGCTTTGAAGCCTTGCATTGGATTAAAGCATCAAACGATGAATGGTTGGAAAAATATGCTGACTTTTCTAAGGCTTTCTTGATGGGCACCAATGCTGGTGGTAACATAGCCTATCATGTTGGCTTAAGTGCAGCTGCATGTATGGATGATCTCCTGCCTCTGCGAATCAAAGGGTTGATATTGCATCATCCATTCTTCGGTGGGACCGAGCTGACTGAATCTGAGTTGAAATTGGCCAAGGACATGGTTATACCGTTGACAGTATGTGATCTGATGTGGGATCTAAGCTTGCCAATTGGCTTTGACCGTGATCATAGGTATTGCAATCCAATGGCGTTCATTACATCAGACCAATTTGATCAGGTTAAAGCTCTAGGGTGGAAGATTTTGGTCACTGGCTTTGATGGTGATCCGTTGAGAGACCGTCAGATTGAGCTTTGGAAGAAATTAGAAGAGAACGGTGTATCAGTAACAGGTAAGTTTGACGAGGGAGGAAGTCATGGGTACGAGGCTCTAGATCCCGCCAAGGCTAAAGAACTGGCCATTACCATTAAGGACCTCGTAGAATCTGCCACCGCTTCTTGAAAAAGTCTGTGCTTGGGATATCTTACAACAGGTTACTCTCAAATTTAGTCAGTGGTTTTGTGTTCTTTATTTTCTTCAAAAACTTTCAGGTTTACAATTACAACTTTTAGATCTAGTCGGGTTTAAACCCAGGTTATATCTGTATCAAACTTCTAAATCCGTATCATGGAAATAAATTTTAATCCGATATCTCATGCACCTCAACCCTCTGGTAACTCCTCTGTTTTTGTTGAGTTGGATAACTACAAATCTACTGGAAGTTTTGAAGAGTCGGGTAACTCTCCTCTAACACTGGTTTTTCAGACATTGGCTCCGTTTGGCAAGTGAGTTTTTTGGGTGTTTGTCTAAAATTTTATTGTAACTCACTGTAGAAGTTGTAGGTAAATTTTTGAAGTGTGTAAATTTTTTAATATTTTGAAGTGTATAATTTAAAAATTTTGAAAAGTTTTTTAAGGTCACTATAACTAAAGTTATTAAAAAACTTGTAGCAGACAAACTTAGCTAAAAACTTGCTTCCAAAGCAAGGCCATTGATTTCAGATACCAGGGTTAAACTTCTACACAAGTTTGAGCTACTCTTTGATCGATCTTTACGTGTTAAACTCTTCAAGATATTCAAACATGACAATGCTGATCAAAATATTTTTCATGCTTCATATGTTCTCCTATTTGGGGTGTCTAAGCCCACGTGGGATTCTCAATGCCACTTTTCCGGTAGCAATTCAGTATCACTTCTATATTTATACCAAGTGTTTTGTTTATTTAACTTGTCATGTGCTGTTTATTTAAATTTCTTCTATCATCACGTGATAAGTGGAATTGACATTGAATTAGAATCTCAACTGGTCTAAACCGGGGTTGAGACTCAAATCATGGTGCTAGCAGTCGAGAAAATATCAAATATATGATATTAACCAATAACCATTACTAGGACCTACAACATCATGCGTATTATTCTTTTACTTCTGGCCAACATATAGAGTTCAACTGGATGGTGACCTGATGTTACCTGGCCATGTTTCAATTGCTCACAACCACCGAAAACCTACACAGGATGGACCGCCAGGTCTACCACCGCATAAACCTTGGAATGTCTTCATATACACTCATATACAAGAAATCTACCATAAATGGAATTGATCCATCCACGAATTAAGTGACATAGACCTTAATCCTAATGGCTTAATCAGGGTTGGGACCTGATTTGCCATGGCAGTTGCAGTCGCGGTCACCGACTCAATTGTTCCACCTACCTTGGCTGCGGTATATTGATCGTTCATCAAAAGTGATAAGCAAATTTTGACAAATAATGTTTTTCAAAAATTCTAAAAATTTATTATAAAAAGGAAATACTATAGCAAGAAAAATGATGAAATTAAAATGAAAAGTTTGAGTTATTAAAAATAATAAATAATTGAATTAGTGGTCGAACCGGTGGTCCAATCGTTGTTGGATTTGTGAGATTTTTTTGGTTGAACTATTTCCTATTCGAAAAGAAACACATGGACCCGACTAGTCTTGGATTCAAATTCCAGCAACCCCACTGCATCATTAACTAATCAATGGGATTGGGATCTTCCATTATCCAATCTAATTACTAACCCAGCCGGTTCGGTGGCTGATTCATCAAGTTGACCAATTCAACTGTCAGGTCGAGTCGAGTATAATAACTACATTACAAATGGCAGATATCAATATGGAAAGGGAAATATAGTCCTTTTAGCCTAGTGAATGAGCCTGAGATTTATATCAGCGGTTGAAGCCTCCAATTCTGTTGGATCTAAATTGGATATTTTCTACAAAATGCTAGGATGTGTTTCATACTACCATAAGAGCTAAAGAAAAAAAAAAAAATCTTGCAATCAGATTTTTCAATTTTGTAGAAAAGAAAAACAATGTCAACCTAGGGCATTTTGGGAATGTGGGAGGATATTAATGGCAATACAAATTGACTTTCATTATCTGGTTAACAGTAGGGGAAGTAATCAACATTATATAGTGATTTAGAGGTGAGATCCCTGTAATTTTAAAATCAAGAAGGGAGGTATTATCAAAAAAAAAAAAAAAAAAAAATCAAGAAGGGAGGTGTGTAACTTTTGCAGAAACTAGAGAGGAAGTCAGTGTAATTTACCCTTATTTTAAAATTCAAGTTAGTGTAATTTACCCTTATTTTAGAATTCAACTTAATGGACTCATGATTGCTAATGACTAAATATGTCAGTAAAAATTTATCAATTGTCCTAAATCAATCTGCTTTAAATTGGATACATTGAGAACCAGATATGTTCTTGCCCAAACTTTAGGTACCAAAACTATACATATATAAAACATTAGGGATCAATTTTTTTTTTTTTATCAAACTTTTAAGAACTAAAACTGTAGAGGGCTGTACATTAGGACTAACACAGTAATTTTCCCTATAAATTTTGTTTCTTTGTTTGGTTTATAACGTGCGACAAAGGCCCTTTAAGAAGAAAACAACCTGGGGGCTGGGGTAGGTAACAACCCCGAAACAGCAGATCCCAAAATCTCTTCAGTGGCCCGAGAGGATCTCCCAAGTAGATTGAATCTTGAAACTTGAACTTGGAAGATAGAAGAACTGCCCCCAAATTTTACTTTTCTCTCAAGTTCTGGGCTTGAACCCTCCTCAGTCCAATGATAGATGGAAGGATCGGATTCGACTACCAACGAAATATGAAGCCAACAACCTCTTGGGTTGAGGTTGTTGGAAGTTGCTTATCACCACTAAACCTTTAGTCTTGATGGGAGAGGGAGTTAACTCTTGCCTCTCATCGTATACTCATTTAATTTTGATTATCACTTTCAAGTGGTTTGTTGGAAGTTGAGATTTTAATTTTGGTGGGAGTGGAAGTTAACTCTTGCCTCTCATCATATACTCATTTAATTTAATTGTGTTTATCACTTTCAAGTGACTTCTTCAGAGCGAAATCCAACTCTGTCGGTTAGGCTTTCCCTCTTACTAAAATAAGTTAAAGCAAGTTATACAAGTGTTATTGTTACCGCCAAAAAAAAAAAAAAGAAAATGATAGTCTCTAGTCTAAGTTCAAGAAGTGGTCAACATTTCACCCTCCACGGAAGTTTGAAAGCTATTGTTTGACTCTTCGTTCAAATCGAACCACTACAAACAAAGGAGTAATTAGCAGTTATTAATATTCCAACAACTCCACCAATGGGGCCAAATCCCCAATGTCCACAAGTCACAGCGAAAATCCCAATTTTTTGTTGGATCAAAACTCATCGAATGCAGACAGGAAAATTTAAGTTACAGCACTAGGAGTAAATCAGCTGGTTTTTAATCGATTTCTCCATCAGAAGTCAACCAAACGGTTATATAATAAATTAGCGTTCTTGTGAAGTGAGCTACCGGTCCTTTGCCTGGTGGTCACTGTCAAGCACTTAAATTTTGGTGATGTTGGAATGTGAAGGGTTTAATCTTTACCTTCCATCAAATTATCACTGTATGTAGCTGTCTTCAATGACTTTATCTGATGAAATTTTTACTTTCATCGATTTTCCCTTTCCAAGGTTAGGATAAATTATGTCATAGGAATGTTAATCCCATATAGTACAAGTCATTATCAAGAGCAACGAGAGTAAACGTCAAACTAGCTGGCAAGGCTCTACAAATACCTTATAAACTCTACAATTATCTTCCTTTATATCTACAAAAAAACATCTGTCCAAGAAAACCATCATGTCAGATCAAGTTCAGCAGCCAGTTGATCCTAATGAAAACCCCTATGGCTACCTGGGAATCGCAAAAAATCCCGATGGCTCAATCACACGCCTGTTTCAACCACCGAGCACACCTGCCTCGTCCGATCCAGCAACCCTTTTCATCTTTCAAAGGACTTGGACATAAACCAATCGAAGGGCACCTGGGCTCGAATATTCGTTCCTCGGAAAGCATTTGATGATGATGATTCCTCCCCTAAACAAAATTGCCCCTCATTATTTATTTTCATGCTGGAGGTTTCGTCGCGTGTAGCGTAAATACAGCCATGTTTGATGCTTTGTACACTCCAATTGTTACTGAAATTCCGGCTGTAGTTGTCTCCGTCGAGTACCGTCTTGGTCCGGAGCACCGACTTCCTGCAGCTTATGAAGATTGCTTCGAAGCTTGCATTGGATCATCAAAAACTCCAACGACGAGGTGGTCAAAACATGCTGACTTTTCTAAGGCTTTCTTGATGGGCAGTAGCTGGTTGGGTAACATTGTTTATCATGTTGGCCTCCAAGTAGCTGCATGTGTTGACGATCTCTGCCTCTGCAGATCAAAGGGTTGATAATGCATCAACCATTCTTTGGTGGGATCGAGAGGACTGAGTCAGAGTTGAGGCTCGCCAACGACAGGTTTGTACCGCTGTCGTTAACTGATCTGATGTGGGATCTGAGCTTGCCAATCGGCGTTGACCGCGATCATGAGTATTGCAATCCAATGGCGAAGATTAAGCCAGACCAATTTGATCAGGTCAAATCTCTGGGGTGGAAGATTTTGGTCACTGGCTTTGATGGTGATCTGATGATAGATCGGCAGATTGAGCTTTGGAAGAAATTAGAAGAGAAAGGTGTATCGGTGACAGGCAAGTTTGATGAGGGAGGAGCTCATGCGTATGAGCTTGGAGATCCCACAAAGGCTAAAGAACTAGCCATTGTTATTAAAGACCTTGTTGAATCTACCACCACTTCTTGAAAAAGTATGTGCTTTGGGAAGCTATTTTGATCTTACAACAGGTCAAAAGCCAAAAAGTTCAGCTAAGCCAAGCTAGTGCGCTGGTATGGTAGAACTAGCTTTTCTGTTTGGTGGCTTACTAGCTAATTTCATTTGTGTGCAGTATGGACTACTTTTGATTATATCGAGTGAGCTGGACTTTTGATGTAGTAATATTTGGACTTTTCTTGTCCCAAAATTGTCATCTAGTTACATGAGTGATAAAATTGTCTGTGCCCTTCTGTTTTCAAAGAGATAATAATACAATTAGGTCTTGGATTTGTATGGTAGTGTAACGGGATGATAGTTGTATCAGTTATACAAAACTTATACGACTAGTGTTCGGAAAGAATTACAAGTAAGAGATTCTGAATTCAAAACTTTTTATTTATAAAATAAAAAAAACTATATCGGCTTTCATGTTGCCTAAATTTTTTTTCCCCATCTTTTTCGTTCCTTAGCTGTCTTTTTCTTTTGTAAAATTCCATTTTCTACATTTCATCTGTACTCGACAGGAGGTTGCAACTTTACGGAAAGTAGAGGTGCATCAACTAGCATGTTGAGTGGAAAAAATAAAGTCTAATCACATCTAAATGAAAAGTAATATATCTGTTGAATGATTTTCTGTGTCAATAATAATATCCATGTCCTATATTTTTCATCTTGTCTTTTCAATTTTATACAACTGAAATATAATTATGCAACAATAGAGGTCAACTTCACCGCATTTTACCTGATGTACCAATAAACAAGAATATTTTGGGTGGAGTTTATAATAAAAATTGAACTCAAATTGTTGTGCCAGTTTACTTGGATGTTTGGAAGATAGAGAAAATCGTCCAAAAAATTGTAAAACTAATAAACTATCCCTTTATTCATCATTATTAGTTACTACTAGTCATCGAGGCACACTTAATGCGTGTGCAATTTGTCAAAAAATATTTTTAATTGAAAGAATTACAAAAATAGTGCAAATGAGCGTAACTATTTTATGTAATATGTGAAAAAAGTGTATTATACAGAAATATGTACAATTGGAAGTAAAAAACGCATTAGTAAGGGAGAATGTGAGAATTGAAGGGAGATAATTTTGATTGGATAAAATTTGTGTTTCAGTTGATAATAGAAATAATGATTAATGGAGAAGCTAATCATTAAAAAAATAGAGATAAAAATAAATTTGAAAACAAACAAAGTTAATACCGACACAAACTTTATTATTGTAGAGATAAGAAATGACAAACCCCCTTTAGAAGAAATCACCCCTAGGGGTAACAACTCCCAAAATATCTGCTCCCAAAATCTCCTTCTGTGCTACCGGGGACGTTCCAAAATCACCTTGAACTTATAAGTTGGAACCCTCCCAGATTTTACTTCTTTTTCAACTTTTGGGCTTCTTAAGAGCCCTCGAGTCCTCGGTCTAATTAATAATAATCGAAATTCAATTGCCAAATTTGACGGTCTCCAGTCTCAAGTTGAAGAAGTGGTCAATATTTTCATCTTCCCGGGAAGTTTGAAAACTATTATTCCACTCCTCGGTCAAATAAAAAAATAATAAAAAAACAAAAGGAGTTGTTGGCACTTAGCACTTATTGACTGATCTTCAAAGTTCAATCAATTGCTACATGTTGTACGACAAATTAGCAGATAGAACGGCGTTCTTGTGTATGAGAGTGTGAGGCAAACACTTATACTAATCGTCTAAACTACAAATCCTATCAGCCAACGCAGCCAGAGAGAAAACTATCAAGACTCTGCTGCCTCTACAAATATACCTTCTATCCTTTCCTACCCACAAAACATCTGTCCAAGAAAACCATCATGTCAGATCAAGTTCAGCAGCCAGTTGATCCTAATGAAAACCCCTATGGCTACATGGATTGGCAAAAAATCCCGATGGCTCAATCACACGCCTGTTTCAACCACCGAGCACACCTGCCTCGTCCGATCCTAGCAGCCCTTTTCATCTTTCAAAGGACTTGGACATAAACCAATCGAAGGGCACCTGGGCTCGAATATTCGTTCCGCGGAAAGCGTTTGATGATGATGATTCCTCCCCTAAACAAAAATTGCCCCTCATTATTTATTTTCATGCCGGAGGCTTCGTGGCGTGTAGTGTAAATACAGCCAGGTTTGATGCTTTGTACACTCCAATTGTTACTGAAATTCCGGCTGTCGTAGTCTCCGTCGAGTACCGTCTTGCTCCGGAGCACCGACTTCCTGCAGCTTATGAAGATTGCTTCGAAGCCTTGCATTGGATCATCAAAACTCCAACGATGAATGGCTGGAAAAACATGCTGACTTGTCTAAGGCTTTCTTGATGGGCAGTAGCGCTGGTGGTAACATAGCTTATCATGTTGGCCTCCATGTAGCTGCGTGTGTTGACGAACTCCTGCCTCTGCAGATCAAAGGGTTGATATTGCATCAGCCATACTTTGGTGGGATCGAGAGGACTGAATCAGAGTTGAGGCTCGCCAAGGACAGGGTTGTACCGTTGACATTAAGTGATCTGTTGTGGGATCTGAGCTTGCCAATCGGCGTTGACCGCGATCATGAGTATTGCAATCCAATGGCGAAGATTAAGCCAGACCAATTTGATCAGGTCAAATCTCTAGGGTGGAAGATTTTGGTCACTGGCTGTGACGGTGATCTGTTAATAGACCGCCAGATTGAGCTTTGGAAGAAATTAGAAGAGAATGGTGTACCGGTAGCAGGTAAGTTTGATGAGGGAGGATGTCATGGGTATGAGTTTGGAGATCCCTCCAAGGCTAAAGAACTGGCCATTACCATTAAGGACCTCGTAGAATCTACCACCACTTCTTGAAAAAGTATGTGCTTGGGAAGTTATTTTGATCTTACAACAGGTCAAAAGCCAAAAAGTTCAGCTAAGCAAAGCTAGTACGCTGGTATGGTAGAACTTGCTTTTCTATTTGGTGGCTTAGTAGCTAATTTCATTTGTATGCATTACGATGCAATGCTACTTTATTGTATTGATGCAGTCATTGGATAAAAGCCCAGTTTATTACCAAGATAAAAAAAAAAAAAAGATTAATGCCCGTGTCACAATACTGTTTGATGTAATAATAAATATTGCAGGGGTTAATATATGGACTACTTTTGATTACATCAAGTGAGCTGGACTTTTGATGTAGTAATATTTTTACATTTCTTGTCCCAAAATTGTCATCTAGTTACATGAGTGATAATTTTTGGGTAATAGGATTTTCCTTACGTAAAAAATTAACTTTCCATACATTTCTTCTCTCTTTGTCTCTGCCCTTCTGTTTTCAAATACTGTAGATAATAATACAATTAGGTCTTTGATTTGTATAGTAGTGTAACAGGATAATAGTTGTATCAGTTATACAAAACTTATACTACAAGTACTCGAGAGGGGATTGAGTTGGGTGATAAAATGGAAAAAATGATAAGTACGAGGTCCTTTAATTCAAAACTTTTCACTTACCAAAAAAAAAAAAATACTAGTATTGCCTTTCATGATGCCTAAATTTTTTCCCATCTTTTTCGTTCGTTAGCTGTTTTTTTCTTTTGTAAAATTCCATTTTCTACATTTCATCTGTACTCGAACAGGGAGGTTGCAACTTTACTGGAAAGTAAAGGTGCATCAACAAGCATTTTGAGTGGAAAAAATAAAGTCTAATTACATCTAAATGAAGAGTAATATATCTGTTGGATGATTTTCTATGTCAATAACAATATCCATGTCCTATATTTTCATCGTGTCTTTTCAATATTATACAACTGAAATATAATCATGCAACAATAGAGGTCAACTTCAGCGCATTTTACCCGATGTACCAATAAACAAGAATATTTTGGGTGGAGTTTAAAATAAAAATTGAACTCAAATTGTTGTGCCAGTTTACTTGGATGTTTGGAAGAGGGAGAAAATCGTCGAAAAAATTGGCAAACTAATAAACTATCACTTTATTCATCATTATTAGTTACTAGCTATCAAGGCACAGTTGATGCGTGTGCAACTTGTCAAAAAGTATTTTTAATTAAAAGAATTACAAAAATAATGCAAGTAAGCGTAACTATTTCATGTAATATGTGATAAAAAGTGTATTATATAGATATGTACAATTGGAAGTAAAAAATGCATTGATAAGGGAGAATGCGAGAATTGAAGGGAGGTAATTTTGCTTGGGTAGAATTTGTGTTTCAGTTGATAATAGAGATAACGATTAATGGATAAGATAATGATTAAAGGATAATAAAAATGAATAATAGATATAAAGATAAATTTGAAAACAAACAAAGTTAATACCTACACAAACTTTATTATTGTAGAGATAAGGAGCGACAAATCCCCTTAAGAAGAAATCATCCCTGGGGTAACAACTCCCAAAATTTCTGCTTCTAAAATCTCCTCCTGTGCTACCCAGGGACGTTCCAAAATCACCTTGAACGTATAAGTTGGAACTTGGAACCCTCCAGATTTTACTTCTTTTTCAACTTTTGGGCTTCTTAAGAGCCCTCCTGAGTCTAATTAATACTAATCGAAATTCAATTGCCAAAATTGACCGTCTCCTGTCTCAAGTTGAAGAAGTGGTCAACATTTACATCTTCCCGGCAAGTTTGAAAACTATTGTTGTACTCCTCGGTCAAATAAAAAAATAAAAAAAAAAACAAAGGAGTTGTTGGCACTTTGCAGTTATTGATTGATCTTCAAAGTTGAATCAATTGCCACCAACTACTACATGTTGTACAACAAATTAGCAGCCCGAGAGAAAACTATCAAGACTCTACTGCCTCCAAAAATACCTTCTATCCACAGAACCTTTGTCTAAGAAAATCATCATGCCAGATCAAGTTCAGCAGCCAGTTGATCCCAATGAAAACCCTATGGCTACCTGGGAATGGCCAAAAACCCTGATGGCTCCATCACACGCCTGGCTCAACTTCCGGGCACCCCTGCCTCGTCCGATCCTAGCAACCCTTTTCATCTTTCGAAGGAC